AAATGTTTTGAGAATGATGAGGGCAATGAATGTACAGATGCGCTTCACACAATTGATGTGTGTATGGATTGTGATGAGTTGTATGAACCACTAATAAAATGATAAAAAAAAAAAAGAAGAAGAGCATTTCAAGGCCTGTCATCCCATTGCCAACAAGTTTTACAGTCAAGGGGCCAAGTTCATTGTTTCGACCGGGCACCAATGCAAGAGTGTGAACACAAATTCTCTCCCGAGTAAAATGGTTGTGAGACCAATAATTACTTTGTCTCATGAACTGAAAATGAAAGTTAAAGAAATATATCTCCCATGGGGCGAGGGTGAGGGTGGACATGGGGATTGGAAGATGAACAAATGTCTTATTGGGCCAATTCAGCTCTAAAATCAAAGGAAAATCACAGGGAGAAGAAAGAAAACAAAGTCCTCTCTCTCCCCAGAGTTTAAAGGGGGCCATTGTAAATTGGGAGAATACAATTGCTCAAATGATGGGAAAAGATTTGCGACCAGATTGAGCATCATAGTTTCAGAACATCAATAATAATGGAAATGTCAAAACTTCTGAAGTCGAGAGCAGAGGAAGGGTTCCCACAGCAGAGGAAGATTCAAAGAGACACATCTCCTTGTGCAACCAGTCTAGCAGTCATGGGGCTTTGCATCCTTTGTGAAGGTTACAGGCTTTGAGTGTCCCATTCTTTTCCCTGCACACTAGTGCATCCCTACATTATTTGGTCCATTAAGGATGTACTTTCCAACAAGGGTTACATTTGACTTAGAAAATAAAGCTCTTGAGACACATGAAAAATCTAAGCTTCCGAAAGATGGGATTGGAGTAGATCTTAATTTGGACTCTGTGAAGACTACAAATGTACACATTTTCCGAGAGGATAAGGAAGTGTAATTTAATACTACCATGTATTAACTTGGGTGAAGTGTAAGGCAATAAACAATGAGAGGGTCAAAAATGATGAGGGAGGGGAGGGAAAGACACTGGGAGGAGCGCAAGAGTTAAAAGCAACAGGTTAAAACTGCCCCGGGCACAATCCTCCAGTAAATGGTTATCTGTGAGAAGCATGGTGACCCTTGAGCAGATTTGGGCTGAGGGTGTGGAGTGAAAGTACACCCCGAAAGATGTATAGGTTAAACAAAAAGGAAGTATACTGCCAGAGTGGCCCAAGTTTTTTATTTTAAGCCTAATTTTATAATATGAAACTTGTTAATTTTTGTCATTTAAAATATAAAATTTTTAATTTTTATGTTATTGTCACATATTATATGCACACTTGTATCGATGTAATATATATAACGTTTTTTTATTAGCTCACTGAAAACTGAGGCTAATTTAGAAGTTTTGAAGTCAATACCTAGTGAAAAACTAATGATTGAGACTGGTAAGTTTCATGTTTCTAGGGTTTTAATTTTCATTAAATTAAGCCGCTCCCCCCCCCCCCAAGTTAAGACTATCTGACCTCAATTGAACTGTTAAACACTGAGCAGACAGCTGACTTATACAACAATGAATTCTTCCCTGAGGCTGCTTTCAATAGGTGGGTAAGTACAAGTGAATTTTTAATTTTAGAAGTTTGACGAAGGGTAAACACTTAAAAAGTGGATGTCAGAATATACAAGGAAGAATTTAAATTTAGTTGTGAATATTTAATTCGTTTTGACAGTATCATAACTCAAGGTTTTTCAAAAAACATTCAATTAGAATTTTTATGCAATGTCTACGATTTAATTCTACAGAATTTTTTGCTCAGTATAATGCTTGTAAAATAGGTAATTAAGTACTTTGTTAAATAGATAATAATCACATTAATTTCATTACATTCAGTAGAAGTGATGCCATCGAATGTGAATGCTTTTTGTTACGTTGGTATTTTGTTTAGGTTTGTGTGGTCATTTTTTTAAAGCATGCCAGCATCCAATGTTAACAGGAAAAATAATATAGAAAAACATGTAATGTTTTGTGTAATCCAAGATTTCTTTTTTGTTTGTTTTTTAATCCAAGATTTCTGCTTTTCCTAGAACTGTTTTGTTACATAATTTTGCGCTTTTTGTTGCTGAATAGTGGCTTATGTGGTGGCTCAAGTTTTAGAAGCTACATATTTTCACTTTGAAATGTTCATTAAAAATCGATGATTTAAGGAGGGTGTAGGAGGCCTGGTAGGGCATGACCAAGGGTAATGTAACCAAGAGGAATTACTAAAACCCTAATGAAGGCTGAACATGATAGTGGGACAAGAGGAAAGTAAAAGGAAATAGAGGAAAGAGCTAGGAGGTAAAGGGCATTTATAGAGGTCTCAATAAAGGCATGTACATAAGTAAATGTATATATAAGGATGTGGACATAGATCTATGTGCATATATGTATAGATTTAGTATTAAGGTAGCAGATGGACATTGGGCCTTCACTCAAGTACTCCCTCAAGGCAAGAATACTTTGTTTATTAAACTGGCATTCTACGATGCTCACCTTCCTGACACGATCGCTGAAGACAAAGCAGGTATATAAGCAAATATGGTGAAGAAAGCTGATGGTGTCCGACTATCAAAAGATAAAGCGTCTGGGGTCTTAAAGGCTTGAAGGTAAACAAGCAGCCATCTAGCTCAGAAACAACAAAGCCCACATGGAAGAAGCACACCAGCCTGTGTGATCACGAGGTGTCGAAGGGATAAGGTATCAGGCATCATCACAACAAAAATTTACAGAAGGGTTGCGGGGAGATAAGCCAATCAATGAGCCAGTCAGGGTGCAGTGTAGCAACGGTGATGAAACACACAGCTTTCCTCTCATTCCTAAATGCTTCCCCCCACTATCATGATCCCAATTCTACCTTACAAATCTGGCTAGACCAGAGGATGTACACTGATACAGATAGCAACTGGAAACAGGGAATCCAGGGTGGAGATCCCTTCAGGACCAGTGGTGTGAGTGGCGATACTAGCAGGGTAGAGGGTGGGTGGGTTGGAAAGGGAGAACCAGTTAACAAGGATCTACATGTGACCTCCTCCCTGGGGGATGGACAACAAAAAATTGGGTGAAGGGAGACGTCGGACAGGGCAAGATATGACAAAATAATAATTTACAAATTATCAAGGGTTCATGAGGGAGGGGGGAGCGGGGAGGGAGCGGGAAAATGAGGAGCTGATGCCAGGGGCTTAAGTGGAGAACAAATGTTTTGAGAATAATAAGGGCAATGAATGTACAGAAGTGCTTGACACAATTGATATATGTATGGATTGTGATAAGAGTTGTATGAGCCCCTAATAAAATGATTTTTTTTAATTACAAAAACAACAAAAATCAATGATTTAACAAGATAAACCTTTAAAAAGACAGGTCTCTTTCCTCGCTTAACTCTAGATGCACCTTGGTGTGGAGTCAAAGGTACACACGCAGGATCAAAGTACATAAAAACTTCATTTCCCACCAAAAAGAAGTGGGAAAACGGGCACTGCTTGAAGGACAGAAATGAGCCTTGCCACATCATGTAAGTCTGCTTTCCTGGTCTTCAGAAACACTCATAACTTCTGAAACCATCACATGCCAGCCACAGATGAACCCGAAGGGACAGGGAGTTGTATGGTAGTAAAGTTTCGTGAAACCTAACTGCAGCTCAGGTCAGAGACCAAGAGTTTCCTGCAGTGACTTGGAAGAACTTGCCCCTGAATTGCTCCAACTCCAGTCTTCAGATGTGTTTTGTTGAAGTAGTTAAGGCTTCCTACATCCTCACTCTGCCTGGCTTAATCTCGGTGTTTATAGAATGTGGCCTAGATGGGAGACCTCTTTGGGAACCGGCATTTTATTTTACAATTTTTAAGTGACAGGACAACGTGGAAAGCTTTCTGTAAGCTTCTGAGCAAGAGTATGAGTAGTCAGTAAGAGGATTCCTTTTTCTAACCACTAAACAGAAAGAACCTTACAGAATTTTGGTTTTATAAAAACAGCCAATCAGAATCGAATTGTGGTTGCAATAGGTAGCACATGTGCAAAGAAGACTGCTGTTCATATGACAAAACCAAACCCAGCTAGCTCACTGCCACCAGTCGGTTCGGTCTCGCGTGAGACGATGGGACCGAGCAGAACTGGCCCTTTGGGTCCCAGGCTGTAACCCTTACAGGGACAGGAAGTGCCTCATCCTTCTTCTCAACGAATTCAGACATTTGGGCATATTTATAACAGATTAATAAAAATCAATGTTCGGTTACTCTTAGACTGGACTTAATTCCTTCTATATGCATCGTTTTTAAGGTGTTTTTTTTTCCTTTCTTTTTTGAGGGCTTTTTAAACAACGGATATTAGGTATGCCAGGTATAAAAATCAGCAGACAGAAAGTGCAGCAAATTTCTAGAATGTATTTCTGAAAGGTTCTTTTCCTTTATTAACTGATGGTTTTGACAGAATTTAAAACGGAATGTTTGAAAACTCAGTATTTTTAAACTCTGGAATATCTCGTACTTTTCATGAAATGCAGACTCAGTCGGAGAAAGTAGTTAGGGCCAATTCTTTGGAGACCAGAAACGGGTATTTTGCCAGAGTCAGTCAAGAGGAAGTAGTTGCCAAAAGTCGATCCCAACTCCCTTTTATAAACTGCCTCAATCTCAGATAAAACTGCTGCCTTGAGCTGTTTTCAAGGTGTTTTTGATTACAGACTGGTCAGAACCATAGGTTTGCTTACCAGCTGTCATCCTAAATACCAACTCCTTCACAGAACAGGTGGAGCGTGGGAATGCGAGCATGTGCAAAGTGACATTTAAACTGTTCCAAGAGCACACCGGCCTCTTGTCCAGCGCTGATTACCAAATAGCAGCAGCAAATTCTTAATTTTGTGAATGCCATTTTCATCAGCCTCTAACCCAGGAAGAGCTTTACGCTGTCACTGTCTGTGCAGAGGCCGAAACTCCCTCTTAGAGGAGAAATCCCAGGAGACATCCTGGGGTTCCTGCTTACTCAGGAAAGGGCAGAGGTTACGGAGGTCACCCAGCACCATCAAGCTGGCCCTGCCCTCATTGGCCCACCAGCTGAGCAGCTCTGTGAATCAGACAAGGCGCCTGGCCTCAGGAGAAAACAAGCCCATCAGTTAGTGGCGAGGCAGGTGCTGGTGCTGCGCTAGAAGTGTGAGGTCACCCCCAGGGGACCCAAAGCCACCATGGAGGAAGTTGGAGAGCTTCAATGAGGTGACATTTCACTGGTCCCTAAGCCTGACTGGGAGTCGGGCCAAGGGCAGTCACCGTGAGCCTGGCTGACTCCAGAGGGCCTGGGGCACAATGAGGCCAGTGTGGCTGAAAGTAGGCTGCAGGGTAAGTGGAGAAGGTGAGGCAGGGAAGGCACCAAAGCTGGGTGGTCAGGGCTTCTGCTTGCCAAGCCAGTTCATTGGATCCAGAGGACTGGAAGCAGTTTCTTTCTTATAAGCTGTAACTGGCATCTGGATGTTGGCAGGGCTGGGGCAGAGGTGTGGTGGGAATCACAGGTCTTGTATAGTCCAGGGCATGAGGGGACAGAACTGGATCCCTGGGCCTAGTATAAAATTGCCACGTTAAACAAAAGAAACCAGGGACACTGCTGGCAGCTTTCTAGGCTACTGAATACACATGGAAATGCGTTCAGTACAAAAAGTTAGTCTAAGAGTCACATGAACTTTGTATTCTGACTTAGTATAACAGAATATTTCACTACACTCCAAGACACTTGGTGAGCCGTGGGTGGGTGCTGCTGCTAACCACAAGGTTAGCCCTCAGAAAGATCAGGCTGCCTGCTCCCATAAAAATGTACAGCCTCAGAAACCCTCAAGGCAGCTCTGCTTCGCTCTGAGTTGGAATCCCCTGGCCAGCCGAGATAGGGCAAAGAACTCATTCTCCAGGGCAGGGGTCCTCAAAGTTTCTAATATCTTATTTTGAGGTAAAAAAACAAACGGGGCAAAAACACCCGGCGGGAAGGATAAATGTCCTCGGGGGGCTGTAGTTTGAGGACGTCTGCTCTAGGGAGTAGCTATCACACTGTTGTCTTACAACATATACATTATATAAATAACACCAAAACAAAACAGTACTTACCTTTACTGTGTACTTATTTTTCAATTTTTAGAACTCTCATTTAAAAGGGCTCATTTCCATTGAGTTAAGCTCATAATCTGCATGTTATACAAAGTGGCTAGTTTTATCATTTACTTGGACCTAGTTCTTGGCTCAAGTTATATGCAAAACAGCCCCAGAGATTCCTAATTACTTTAAATAGTCTACCAGAGGTAAGTAAAGATTCTCAGATACTGATATATATGTGATGAAAATTTTGACTACCAAGCTTATTGTGTTAAAGGTATATATGGGAAACAGTGGTGATAACAGACCTTTAAAAGCCAGCCCTCAGAATTCTGATTGCCTGTTTTGTTTGTTTTAGTCAAATCCTGGAGATCATGTCAGCAGTAAGAGATGAGGACCCACTGGAGTTAGCCAATACTCTGTACAACAACACCATGAAGATATTTTTCCCTGATGTGTAATCAGCATGTCTTCCCTTTTCCATCATGTGTGTAAAATTTCCTGAAAGCTTCAATAAAGGACTATATGGAAGCAGTTTAAAGACGTATTCTATATCATCACACACTCCTTCTCATTTACATCCATAAAACCAGATCAGGATTTTTTTCCCCTAGCACTTAAAAATGCCCTAGTTTAAAACAATGGAAATCCCCCACTGTTTTCACTTTGTAATCATTTCAAAAGTCTCAAAGGACAATTTTATGTCAACACTGCAAACACCGACTGTCCAGCAAATACACGGCTTGCAGTTAGCACATTCTGGTTGATAGCAAAGTTTAGTTGATAAAAGCCTATTTCTCAACTCTTCCCTGGCCTCTGAGTCCACAGAAGTCGGCTGCTCCCCGACTGCAAGCAGGCTCCTATGGATTCTGGTAGAATAGGTTTCCCTTAGGCTGGAAAGTGTGTGCAGTCTGTATGGTCTGGCCCCACTTACCCACCTCCTGGACTTCTGTGCGGGTTTACCCTGACTTGCATTTTCACTTACAGACTCAGGGCTGGGGTGGGATGCAGTAGAGGCACTGAGGAATCTCTGGCACGGCTGACACACCATACTACCATCACCGCCATGAAAAAGCTATCTGTTCAAATGCCGTCATAAAAACGTGAAAACATTTTATTCTATGTACAATAATGTACACAATTTTAAATAGGTCACCAAAGAGACCAGAAGTAATTAAAGAGGTATATTTACAGTAGCACATCACAGTAAACGGAAACCCATTCACAGATTCAGCATAGATACTGCTTTTGTGCTTGGTACAAACTGAAGTGAAGCATATGACTCCATTTTGGATGAACTGAATTTTAAATAAATACCTCAATGATTAGTAACTGCTATTTTAATCAGTCCGTGTCATCATTCACCAGTTCTTCGGCAGCGGGGCCCATGTGCTGGCTCCCTCCATCCCGTCCTGTCTCCACACTATCATCACAGTCTGTACTGTCAGCGGCGTTCAGTTCCCTGTCTGGTTCGGCGGCGGCGGCAGCTTCTAGGATCACTTCCTCTGGGTTTTCATTGGGTACTAGAAATCCATTGTTGTTAGATGCCTCTGAGCTGTCCTTGATCTCTTCTTCGATGTACACTTTTTGATGGCACATTGGACAAGTGTCTTGGATGTACAACCATTTCCGAAGGCAAAGTGCATGGAAATAATGGTTACATGGTGTGATCCGGGCAGACGTTGTGAATTCATGATAGCAGATTGCACACACATCGTCTATTTCTTGTAAGCGGCTCCCTTTTATTTCAGGGAGTGAATTAATTTTCTTAACAGCAGTCCTACGATTCATAAATGTCCTCCAGCCATTTTTTGCTTGTAAGTAGATGTTAAAATAGGCGTGTAGGCACATCATACAAGCCCGAATTTTACTTCCCGACTCAAACATCATGGTATAAGCCCCATTTCCAAACATTACCACTCCAAATATAAACTCGATAATGTTGCCTGTTGAACGAACATAGTAGACATAATCATCAAGTTTTTCCCAGAGGACGTTATAGTAGCCGTCGATCATGAACAACGTGTACACAGTGAGGGAGACGATGACTTTCAGGCATAGCTCCACGCAAAAGGCTGTAACTGCAAACAACCATGTGTTGAGTGCATAGTGATGCCAGAGGACGTAGCTGAGTAGAATAGGAAGAACAAACAGGGAAGCAGAGACGAACAGCACCGGGAAATGTCTGCGGACCGATGACACGTGTGAGGCACTGAGCGACATCAGCACGGGGTCTGTCATACCGTGGATGAAGTGCAGGACTGCGGTTAATAAAAGGCACATGTTTCTGCTTAAGCGAATAAGTCTCTCTTCCGGCCTCAGCCCACTTAGGCCAGTCTGAAGAGCCAAGATGAAAAATAAGACGGGAGCCACCAAGCCCAGCCGCCTGTCGTCCTCCTCAGTGGAGCCGATGAAGGCCAGTATCCCCAGTCCTAAGTAATGGGCTACCAGGGAGATGACGGCACTCATGCCCAGTACAGTCAGTGTGGAATCGCAGCCACTGATGATCAGACTGCACACAAGGTCCCAGAAATCATCCCAGGACAGGAAGATGGAGTCAGTGTCATTGGCGAGCCTTAAAATGTACATCAGCACAGTCGCCTGCGCTGTGATCCTCGTGAGCCAAAACACTCGCAGTATATCCGGGAAGCGAATTCTCTTCCACGTGTCCTCCACCAGTAATTGTAATCCGTAAATGCGGTACATGTGCCTCACTAAGAGAAAGACGTAGCGTGCGGAATAATAAAACCACTTCAGTTTCACTGCCAACACAAACACTGTATTTAATGTGAGAATCAAGGAAGAAATAAAAACTAGCGTCTCTCTGATGTGTACTGGGAGCTCTGTGATCAAACCTATGACAGGAACCAGGAGATCCAAAATAATTAACTGTGAGTAGACGGAATGGATTTGGAGCAGTGATATGTATCCAATCCCAAATGTTAGCTGTAGAACAATCAGCGCCATCCAGAGGGAGGGGCCTTTGAGAGGAAGGAAGTCAACTCCAAAAGCAGATGTGTTGTAGGCACCAGAAAAATCCATGTGCAGAGCAGCATAGTAATTCACCAACACTGACGTGGCAGCGAGGAGGAAGGCAGAACTGTACATGTAAAACTTGAAAAGTGATCGCTGTGACAAGGTGAGAACAATACTGGATACAAAGATCCCTAAGGAGAGAGAAAGGAGAAGCATTACGATGAAACATTCCAAACGGTCATATTCTTTGCTTAGTATTTCTAAAGTTCCGAACTTCAATACAATTGATGTGCTAGACAAGTTATACCTAAAAACAAATGGCTTTCATCAGCATTCAATAAGGCAGACTAAGCATATTATTCTTTTAAACTTCATCCTTGTTTTCAAAATTCCAGAATGATTCAAGTAGTACTGGAATATGCCCAGATGCCAAATTACTAGGAAAAGATTCAAGGAGTTAGTATTGGTTCATAGGTCTTTTTAACAAGTTGAAAACTTTTTGAAAGAATGCTCTTAAAGAATTTCATGATCAATTAAAATATTTTAGATGACTCCAGCAGCAAAAATTGAAGGACTAAAGAAAACCAAAATAGAAAGTATGTGTTCCCATTAAAATGTAAAGAACGTTTGAATTCTATGTTCCTACCCTTCCTTTCCCGTATACGGTGAACTCACGCCGTTATGGTCTTTCCGCTCAGGCAACGTGAGCATTCCTGGGGCCACGTTCACTAGTTTTTCTTCCTGTGTGTACTTTACTTCAGATTTCAAAAGTGGCCCTAATTTCCTTTTCTTCTGCATATTATTGAAATTGTTTTCTTTATATAGTCAACCCTTTTTATTCTTCAAATTACAAAATTCAGAATGCCACCCCGTATTTTAAAAATGAGAATATATCCACCCTACCCCCTGTCTCCTCACTCCTGCTCCACCAGTCTGAACAGTCCAAGACCAGGCCACACTGGCCATCCTCGCTCTCGCAAAAAGGAGCACATAGGGAGATTAAATAGCACCCAGGGTTTCAGCTACAGGAATGACATCTAAATACATTCAGAGTCACTGCTGCCACTGTGTGGATTTTGACAGCAACCCTCTATGGTAAGGGCCTCCAAGACTAAATCTTGATGGAAGTAGAAAGCCTTATCTTTTCCCTGCAGGAGGGGGAAGGCTGGTGGTTTTGACCGGCTGACCTCTGGGAGTGCTAACTCCAAATTTCTTACAAAGTTTCTTCCAACTCTCTTTCCACTAGAAAACCCACTCTTCCTGGTGCTTTCTAATTTTCAACTAGAGAAATTAGTCTCTAAGTGTTATCCCTCACCCCATACCCTCAAATTTTACCAATCTTTGCCTCTAAAAACTCTTCTTATCCAAGTCCACTTGTAAGCCTCAGACAAACAGCCCTTCTTCACTTCTCGGATGTAAGCCCTAAAGTTACTATGATGCACCAGAATTTCTTATCCTGACCTTCAAGCACCCAACTTGCTGTCGAGTCCAATCCCTCCAGGAATGGCAGGCTACAGACTTCAAGCGCACACCCTTCTTTATCACGTGGTGACTGATAAGAGCAGAGCTCCTCTCTGCTGGAAATGGTCCCGCCAACTTTCCCAATCCTCAAACTGTTGAACTGTGACCCATCTTAGAGACCCCCTTTCTCTGATAGTGACTGTTACTTCAGCACACCCATGGAACTTAGGGAAGCACCAACACTCTATACAGCCTGGTTTTGAGGGTATCTGAGTGTTGTTTAGTGCTGCTGAGTAGGTTCCAACTGATAGTAACAATACGCACCACAGATGCAAACTGATAGTAACAATACGCAACAGCCCCACCATCGTTGCTATGTTTAAGGCCAACGCAGCAGCCACTGTGTCCATCTATCTCAGTGCTTCCTCTTTTCTCACTCACTGTGGATTTCGTTTGCCCCACTTCTCCAGGGGGCCAGTCCCCTCTCAGTGTTAAAGACGAATCTCAGTATCTTCCCTCCTGAGAAGCATTCTGGTAGATCTTCCAAGACAGATTTGTTCTTTTTGGTAGCCCACATTATATGCAACAGTCTTGCCCCAAACCATAATCCAACAACATCAATTCTTCTTCAATTAACATCGAGCCTTCCCTATAGTGTCCAGCTTTTGCATGTATATAAGTTGACTGAAAATACCATAGATTGAGTCAAACAGCCTCAGTTGTCACAATATCTTTGCTTAAAAAAAAAAAAACTTTAAAGAGGTCTTTTGCAGCAGATTTGCCTTATGCAATACCTTGTCACTTGCTATCTTGACTGCTGCTTCTATGGGCTCAATGATTACGGAACCTCAGTAAAATTAAATCTTTGACAACTTCAATAATTTTGTTTATCATGATGATGCTCATTGGTCCTGCTGTGAGGACTTTTGCTTTCTTTACACTCAAGTGCAATCTGAAGGTTGCAGTTCTTGTTCTTCAGTAAGAGCAGGGGTCCTCCAACTGTTTAAACAGGGGCCCAATTCACTGTCCCTCAGACCCGCTGGAGGGCCGGACTATAGTTTAAAAAAAAAACTATGAACAAATTCCTATGCACACTACACATGTCTTATTTTGAAGTAAAAGAACAAACGGGGCAAAAACTCCCGGCGGGCCGGATAAATGTCCTTGGCAGGCCACATGTGGCCCGCGGGCCATAGTTTGAGGATGCCTGAGTAAGAGCTTCAAGTCCTCTAAGGTTTCAGCAAGCAAAGTAGTGCCAGCTGCATATCCCAGATAGTTAACTACTTTTCCTCCAATCTTGACGCCAAGTCCTTCTTTATACAGTCTAGCTTCCCGAACTCTTTGCTCAGCATTCAGGCTGAATAACTGTGGTGAAAGGATACAAAACTGATGTGTGTCTTTCCTAATTTTAAACAATTAACTCTCCCTTTGTTCGGTTTGAAGGACTGCCTCTTGGTCTATGTCCACATTCTGCATGAACACAATGAAGTGTTTTGCATTTGCAATTCTTTGCAATGTTAGTTATGCAATAAAATACAGGTAAACACTTTCTGGTATTTTCTGTTTTCAGCCAAGCTTCGGCTGACATCAGCAATATTCTTCATCCCACATTCTCTTCTGAATCAGCTTGAAGTGCTGATGGTTCCCGTCAATGTACTGCTAAAACCATTTCAATTCTTGGCAGCAAAACTTTCCTTGTGTGTATATTAATGATACTTTTTGGTAATTTCCACTTTTGACGTATCACCTTTCTATGAAATGAGCATAAATATGGACTTCTTCCAGTCACCTGGCCAGGTAGCTGTTCTCCAAATTTCTTGCCATAGACAAGTGAGTGCTTCCAGCATTGCATCCATTTGCTGAAACATCTCAAGAGGTATTTCTGGGGCCTTGCACTTTGGACATGACTTCAGTAGAGCCCTGGCCTTCTTCCTCCGGTGCCATCGGTTCTTGATCAGTCAAGCTACCCCTCTGAAATGGCTGCACACTGATCACTTCTTTCTGGTACAGACTGCACCTTCTTCTGATGCTTCCTACATCATTCAATATTTTACCCTAACTCTCACTGACATGGAGTCGATGCTGACTCATAGACTCTACAAGGCAGAGTAGAACTGCCCTTTTTATTTGAGTTTCCATGACTAACTGCTTACAGGAGTAGAAAGCCCCGTCTTTCTCCTGAGGAGCCTCTAGTGGCTTAGAGCTGATAGTGGTTTTGAACTGCCGACCTTGCAGATGGCAGCCCAACTTGTAACCACTACATCACCAGGACTCCTTAGAACCCATCAATACTGCTACTTGAGGCTTGAATTTTTTTCTTGAATTCAGCATGAGAAATGTTCAACACGTTTTTCCTGGCTTTTTAACTCGTCTTTGTACCTTTCATTGTAACACTTTCCTTTGTCTTCTCGAGCTCTCACTGCCAGCAACCAACACATCACATCAAAGGAAAAGAACCAAATGAGCAGCTCTATGGATGCAGCAAATGTCTGATAAAATCCAATACCCTTCATGAAAAACGCAAAAGAAGACTGGAACATAAGAGAAAGTCCTCAATGATTCGAGACTTATGAGGGGACTCTGTGAGAAAATAGAAGGAAAAGCCAACTGCTAACATAATACTTAATGGAGAAAGACAATTCAGAATGCCTACTCTCACCACTTCTATTCAATTCCACATATGAAGTCCTAATTAGAGCAATAAGACATGAAATAAAAGGTCTCTAGATTGGAAAAGAAGAAAAAACTATCTCTATTCTCAAATTATATGATCCCATAAATAGAAAACCCCAATGAGTCTACAAGAAAACTCCTTGAATGAATATAGGAATGTAACCAATCTGAATGGAAAACAAGCCCATTTACAATTCCTAGGAATTAATTATAACCAGAGATATAAAGGACAGATACAATGAAAACTAATAAAGCATTGCGGAAAAAGATCAAGATATAAATAAATGGAAAGATGCTTCGCATTTGTGTTCATGGATTTAAAGGCCTAACACTGTTAAGATGCCATTGCTAACCACCCAATGCAATCTACAGTCATCCCAATTCCTAGAACCTTCTTCACCAAAATGAAGAACAAAGACCAAACCAAACAACCAATCCTCAACTTTATATGCACTAGCAAGAGTTCCTAAATAGTAACGCACTGTGGAAGAACAAAGTAGAACTCGCACTTCCTTCCTCATTTTAAACAGATCATACAGTAATCAAACAGTCTAGTATTGGTACAAGACACAAATGGAATAGAAATAAAAATCCAGAAATAAACCCACACATTCATGCTCAACTGCAACTTGACAAGGATGTTAAATTCATTCTGTGGACAAAGTATTTCTTCAGTATGGCTCCATCCTTTACAACACACACAAAAACTGGGTTAATGACCTAAGTTCAAACTGGGTTAATGACCTAAATGTGCAAACTAAAACCATAAAATTCTTCAAAGAACAAGCTGGGGCACTAGCTTTCAACAACAGATTCTCTAACATTAAAATAAAAGCACAAACAGCAAAAGCCTAAATAAATAAATAAGATCTTATAATTTTTTTTGTTCATGATAAAAAAAATTTAGCCCCAAAAATGGAAAAGGCAGGCAACCAACTGGGAGAATATCTTCAGAAACTATAAAACCAACAGGATATGAAGAACCAACATGTAAATGTATATATGCATATATATATATTACAAACTCAGTGAGGAGCAACTCAGAGAAGGTGGGTAAAAATGGCTGCACAACTCAAGACTATGATCAACTCACTAAACTGTACATGTAACAGCTGATGAGTTGGTGTATTTCTTATAAGAAAGCCCTATAGAACAGTTTTACTCTTCACACAGGGGGTTCCCTACATGTCAGAATCAATAGCATCTATCTAGCAACTGTA